TGTCCTAAGAAGGAAGCATATAGGAGGGTACCTGCTCTTTTAATCCTTATACATGATGATTCATACTTTAGTGGACAAATAGATTCCATCTGTACATGACAGTGATGATTTTTAAGTTGTGTCCATTAATTTTCCATCTGAATAAATATTTCGTTATGCATGATTTAAGAACCTAAAGGAAAGACTTGTTTCGTAAAAATCTGTTTAGAAATCATAAAAAAAGGGATTACTCCTAAGAAGCTGATAATGCCCCATGTGGATATATATATTCGGGAAATATTTAGCATTAATTTAAGATGGTGTCTCTCTGCAGGTTAGATAAAAGGACACCTAACATTGTATCTTAGTGAACAGTGATAGTTATGACTTCCGCCTCAAATATTATGAGAGAAGTATATAACCGTAAGGGTCTAGTCAGTAAAAAAGTGTGTGTGACCTGTTCATGTGTAACAAAGACTCACTGTTTTATATATATGCCTATGTGGATGTCTATGAATATAAACCAAAAAATTGTAGGGGCATAATTAAGTGCCCGACGGGTAACTCTATTGTGAATAATTTTGATAATGGGTCACACTGACCCAAACATGAGGCAGTAAGTATTATACGCAATGCGACTACTCTCTATTAGGATATAATATTTTGTCCCTCCTAGACAGTCCGGAAGAGAATCTTATTCAACTGAGACTGTGGAGGATTTTAACGGTGTTAATCCCCCGGTTTCGTACTTTCTTTTTCTTGGTGCATCCTTATTCCATACTAAAAGGGTCCATTTCTGTGTAAATTTTTTAAGGGTCCCAGATAGTTTGGGGAGGAAACTGCCTGAGTAAAGACCCAAATTTAAAGGGATTAATCATTCTATTGCCTTGAAATAACAACTATGGTACAATCAATAGTCAAATACTGTCACAGAGAGTCTTCATAGTAGAGAAGGCATAGAATAAAGTTACAAGCACTAGGATAAGAAATATGAATAAGACATTACCATTAAGAAGGGGAACGTACAGGACACCCTGGTTCCCTGTTGTTACCAGGATGGTCTATACAGGTGAGTAGTTAGACACCGTTATACCAATCTCTTTACGGAAAACATGGATGCATCCAGTTAGATCCCATGTTATAGGACCGTAACTGTAGCAGTAAAATTATAAGGACAAGTCTGCGGGAATGAATGATAAACTATAATTATCTGCCCCCTATTGCACAAATGGAAGATTGAGTAAATTTGCAGCGAGGATTGTGCAGGAATGAATGATTCATTGGAATGAGGAAGAAAGTATACGACCTGTAAGGAATCCTTGTGTAAGTAATAATTAAATAATCAATTGCATAATTACTTTTTATAAAAGAATACAATTCCTCCTTGTGGATATCCTATTTTCTAGAGGAGTATAGATAGTGGAAGCTGCAGGATTAGAAATTACAGATCGTATTCGAATATGGATATAATAGTCGTCTATATTAATGCATAGATTATATAGTAGTAGAGGAAAATGCCCCTTCCTGATGAACTAATGGACTGAATAAAGACAGAATGCCCTATGTATCCGCCTAATTGCGACTCATTAAGCAGAATATGGAATTCCTGTGGAGTCATCTCTAGGCAACCATTATATATTAGTGTGTATCCCACGACGTCCACTAGGCAGTAGCAGCGTGTAGCTACGAAGATAATCGGTGATTCTATAGGGATAAGATGAAATACATACTATTACAACAGTAAATCATCAATGAGAGGGGGGTCATTTGGACAGTGCACCATTTTGCAAACAATCATGAAATCTAGGAAATGTATTAAGTAGTTGATAAAATATAAATTTAAAAGAAGTGATCAAATCAAACAAACGTTCTAACTGTATAAAGACTACAAAGATTATAAGGAGAAGGATAAGAGAATGATAGTATATTCCACAGGAAGTATCAAAGTAATAGCAGGGGAATGGGAAGAATACAAAGAACGTTAAACTAGAATAGGAGATATATGACTCTTTATAATAGTATATCCAAGCCGAGATAGTATAAATCCCACTGAATACTCGAAGAGTCACGAGAAATAGGAATCAGAAGAGTTTAGGGAGTTCTATGGTATTCACTGCACTGAGATGTAATATTCTATACTGGCATCTTGTGATTATATATCTAAAGCTATATAAAAGTTTTAAATATGTTTCTTTAAATTTCTGTTGAACTATAGCAAATATTCTAATATTTATCCCCTCCGGAAAAAGAAGAAAATGTAAACAACAAAGAGAATCCAGGCACCCGCCCCCAAAGGACGTCTACATAACTAACACAACATGTCTCTCCCAACTGGAGGCCATTATATACCAATGGTCTATGAGATCCATTACAACATCTGAACGAGGTCTCCCAGAACGACTCCCTCCGAATTAAAAACGACAGAGAAGCCTATTCAAGAATAATAGGGGCCTATGGCATGAAGTATAGGACAAGGACTTGTTGCAGGAAAGTTGAGAGGACCGCTCCTAGGGATTAAGAATCCAACAACCGGATAATGAAACCACCAACGGAGTGCCTAAGTAAGAAGTAATATATCCAAAAATCCAGGAACTAAGAGGGCAGAGAAACCAAATAAGCCGAGGAGCATTACCAAAGTAGGAGAGGAATTAACACCCCCACGAGTATAAAAGACCATCGTTGAGATGATGGGAGCTACACCCCAAGTATCATCTCCCCCCCCCCAACACTAGAGATAAAATTCCCGTATATCGAGTATCCTCCCAATAAAACGTAGAAGAGTAAAACAACTGAATAGAAAGATTCACGAGGAAGGGGCAAATCCCTGGTCAGGAGAATACCTAGGTACGGAGGAACTAACTAACAATTAAGTAGCTAATCCATAAATCCACCTCAGCAGGCCAAAATTCAGAGGAAGAAGGTAATTTAGTGGATCATTAAGGAATGAGATAAACTTCCAGCAGAATAGCCCAAGATTGCCCAAAAGGCGAAGCCAACAAAATTAACGACCCAACCTAGATCCAGGGTCCCCGCTCCCAAAGAAGATTGAGAAAAACAAAAAAAGGGCCACAAGAGAGGGAACCACCTAGAAGAAGTAATATGCTTAGGAGAAAGAGTTAAGGAGCCAGGCGATAAACATCTAAGGAAGAATTAACAGCAGGTGATAAAATCCTCCAGGCATTCAGCGGGGACCTGCCCTCGCCAAATGACTAACAAGCCGTATATACCTGGGAAAAAGCTAACTGGATGCTACAACATGTGAGATCTATCAGACCACCTCCAAAAGCCCCTCATAAGGAATCCCTTATCTCCAAGTTTATAGAGGCAGTAAAGCTTCAAACACCAGAAATCTCAACCCCTGGAACAATATGGAGCCAACTCTAGGAACCAACTGAAACCGGCTCCTTGTGAACCAAGTGATTATAGAACCCCAAGGACCAAGTGAGTAAATACCACCCAACTACAAAGAGAAATCTACTGATCATGGGGGGAGCCACAAATAAGAAATGGAACTTAAAAGATTGGGCCCAAGCCCAAAACAACTGGGGATATGCTCCTAAACTAGGAGAACAATGTGGCGAAAATAAGAGCGTCAGATTTTGTTATAACGAGTTAATAAAGCCCCCCAAAGAAAGGACGCTCAATGTAGATCCATGGGTAAATAAGGACTTATTAACACAGACCCCCCTCGTGTGGGGGCAGGTTTTCGACCCGAATCAACAAACTTGCATAAAGCAAGATAGGACGAGGGAACTTCCATGGGGTGAAGTGCTCGACAGAATAATAAACCAGATTCAGACAGATTTGTTAGCACAGCCTGAACCCAAAGGCAAGGAGCTGTTATGGAATAGCCAGGAGTGGTACAGTCTATTAGAGAAGGCAGGAAATCTAACAACTCCCTGGGACAAGACTGAGTCAGGTCAGAGACTTCTAATAGTGATAGTATGTATCATAACAGGGTTGACGAGTTCCAGAACGGGAAGCGAAGTGAAGTATGAAGGGAGAAGCACGTTATGTCATAAAGTGGATGACGCCTTATCGTTTACTCAACAACAATGGAAAGACTGGGTGACAAGTTTCGGCAAGGACCGACGAACCAGGGGAGTGAGCTGCAACGAAAGTAGTAGGTATCGAGAATGTCACAGTACAGGTATGAGTTTAATACTGACAGTCTACCGGAGCCTAAGTAGTCTCTGTCCCAAATGTGGACCCTATGCAATCGGAAAATGGATTAATAAGTTTATAGCTGCTGAGGTGACCAAGGGCGAATTAAGTTGTAAGGTGACTCAACGAAAAATAACCTGTGATAAATATCACAAAGGGACTGGGAATGTCGCTGATTTATGGATAAATGACATAAATAAAATTCCTTTGGATTCTATCAGCGGATTAGAAGAATTTCACGAGCCTACCCCAGAACACCCCGTGAAGGGTGCTGATATAGTCACAACACCCGAACAGAAAAAGGAAAAATTAATTGCACTCACTACCGACTATAGTAGCTTCCGACCAACAACTCCTCCCACAAGAGGGAATGAAGAACAATCTGGGAGAACTCAAAACGCTTTAACCCAATACTCTTCCGTCAAGCAGTCTCAGGCGAAGGATTCAAGAAGCTACGTACCAACGGCTGGAGTTCCATCGCCCCCGGGGGCGGGTATGTCCACAAAGTCGAGAGAAGTGCTGACTATTACGGATAATGGGAAAGGGTCCTCACGAACCAGACAAGAAGATGCTGAGGAGGACCCACCCTCCCAAGGAGAAACTTGGGATACGGGAGGCTCAAAACAGGGAAGTCCAGTACAAACCAAGAGTGACACTAGCGATCAGTCTATATATGCCACGGTAGGTGGTGTGTTGGGAGTTTTATTACTGGCAATGGCCAGCGCCTATGGAATATTTCGCATCTGCAAGAGGAAGAAGGACTCTAACTCCCGACGCCAGAAATCACCTAGGATGGGGCAAATAAGTTATAGTATGAAGACCCATTAGGAAGTCGAAAACAGGAGACGTTTCCGGATTAGCACCTGCACAATAAGCAAGATGGAGAACCCTAAAGCCAGCATGGGTGCCGGCCACCCATAACAAGTTAAACTTCCCTGTAAGGAGGTCAAGTGGGGGTTCGAATTCGGGCATTAGAATAGGAATTCCCCCTTTAGTCTTCAAGGATTAGGGTTGAGGAAGGACCAATATGATTATGACCTTCCTCCAAGCCCTTTTAGTACCATGGTTAAAACCTTGAACCCCCCCCTACGTATCCAACTTGGTGCACTAAGGGGTTGTGTCCCCCCTAGGATGAGCTTCATTCAATAGGTTAGTTATCCCCCCAACAACAGGTAATGTGTTTAACTGAGTCCAGATTAAGTCTACATTGTGTTAAAATGTGTAGAATCTTCCGTGTTATTAGTCTATTTTTGTGTCCATTATTAGTGACCACCCCCATGTATGGTTGTTAAAGGACTTAGATTGACCTAAGTGAGATAGTGAATAGAAAGATTCTATTCCCAGAATTAGATGAGAAAAAGCGTCTTTATCAGGGGAACAATGATTCCTGAAACAGAAGATCGACTGACACTCCTATGACGTAGTGTGTGTAGAGATGTCCATACCTTATAGCGACTAGTAAAAGCGAAGTAAACCCTGGACCACCCGGAACAGTTACATTTAGGAGTTAAAGGAGTTGTTGTTTTATCGATTTGGATTGGTTTGTTCAGCCGGAAAATAGGAAACACCCCCCCTGAAAGGGTGTCTTTCTCCTTAGTAGGGTGGAACAAGTACCCCCATTGGTGTGTTGTATTATAAGTAGGTTATAGGAGTCATTCCATCTAAAGGGTCAACCAGGAACGATCAATTCATCATTTCTGACATGTGTTCTATATTGTCACTTCTGATTATTAGAATGATCGTGGTGGTGTGTTGGAGGTAAAGAAGTGTGTATGTAGAAGGCCAAGTGATAAATAAATCATTACCTACTCGATGTATAAGTATTTTGATAGAATCAGGTGAACCCGACACATTACACTACAAGAGACGTCAGATGAACAATATCGGAGCATATTATCCTAGTAAAACTAAGAATACTGTTCTCCCGGTTTGACGTTAAACGAGGAGTGAACAAGTAGCGGATTATTTAGCACAAAACAATCCGATATGGAGGAGTAGTTGACATTTGAATTTTACTAAGAAGCTTTTGTAGAATAGGAATATTTGACAGGAACACGGATCGAACATTTTTCAGCCGACCGAAAATATCCAAAGGGTTTATAGGTAAGGAATAGATTGACTCAAACCTAAACAACCAATGATTTCTCATGTTAATTTTATTAGGAGAATTAACAGAACGAGAAATATTTCAAACAAATAACAGGTAAGGAAGAATTATATGTTTAAGATTTTTGAGAAACTCCTAACCGAAAAAAATAGTTAACCTACCGAAACAAGGAAAAACTGTTTGACCGGATCCATAGTGTTTCCAACATTAACGTGGCAGGGTCTAATAAAACAAGGAAACGAGGAAAGCAAATTCCAACCATTTAATTTTATTAAATATATTGCAATAGCAAAGGTAATTACCCACAACAAGGAACGAAACTTTTCAGCGGGGGTAATTTGATTACATATATTGCTATAACAGAAATAATTCCCAAAAAAAAAAAGGGCGAGTATTAAACATGGGTAATTTTATTACCTATATTGATATAGCAGAAATAATTGCCCAAAAGAAAAAAAAGGCAGGTGTCCCCGCGGGTAATTTTATTATATATATTGATATAGCAGAAGTAATTGCCCAGAGAAAAAACAGGCGAGTTTTAAACGCGGGTAATTTTATTACATATATTGATATAAAAGAAATAATTCTCAAAAAAAAAAACACACGAGTTTTCGACGCGGGTAATTTTATTAAATATTTTGCAATAGTGAAACTAATTAGCAAAAAAAAAAAAGAGGCAAATTTTCCACGCGGGTAATTTTATTACATATATTACTATAGCAG